AATGAAAACTCCAAAACCTACCCCCAAAAACTATACCATAAATGTAAAATAGTTAACCCAAAGCCAAAATTTTAAAAGTGTTTGTGTTTGCGTCTGCGTTTGCATCTTCATTTTTTTTGAGAATACTTTTTTTCTTCTTCTCAAATGCACCAGATCCAATCTAATATCCATGTTTCTTTTTTGAAACTTATCTTAGATCCATGTTCTTCCTCAACAACACTCCTTCTTGAATCTTCTCAGAGGAAATCACAACGGATGTGAGATCGAAGAAAAAAAAAATGGAGACAACTTGATCTGAGATCAGAGACAAAAAGATTTAAGATTCGAAGGAAAGATCTGAAAAAAAAAATTAGATCTGAAACATTAAGTTAAATGAGTCCATAGACAATTTGGGAATGTTGAAAAAAAAGGAGATGACACGCTTGCAAAGAATTTATAAAGGTGGCAGTTTTGTAAAATGGCATTAGAGATGTGACATTTCTCAAAATTTTATAAAATAAAAAATAATTTTTTAGTTTTGAATATTCTAATGTCAAAAATCTAGTTTTCTTTAATAATACAATGGGGATTAACCACGCAGATTAACATTAAAAATAGTCATAGCTCAAGAGTTTAATATTGAAAAAAACTTTTGAGAGGCAGAGCACAAATTAAAATTTTATCTATAAATTCCCTAAATTTTTTTTTTTTGTTTAGGGCCTCCAAAATCTAAGGACCGGCCCTGCTAGCCGCAAACACTTTTTCTTCGATTTGCCTCTCCAACCTTCGGTGTAACGGCCGGTGGTTGTGAGAGGGCTTTCTCTCCTCTCCTTGTTTTTCCTTTCGCCTTGTTCTCTTTAGGGATCTGAGGATTTTCTTTCTTATTGGGGGAGCTGGCTTTGCTTCATCGGCGGCTGCACAGTGGCGAGGGCTCTAGGTGTCCGGGTGGTGGTTCCTCGGAAGCTCTCCTTCACCGAACCGTCTTCTGTGATAAGAAGAGGTTTGTCGAAGGAGTCTCCATGGTTTTGCTAATCTTATTTATGGATCTTTGAAGACGCATCAGACTCAGGCGACAAGGTCTCGACGAGGTAGATATGCGGAAAGCGTTAGGTGGTGGTGGCGAAGACTTTATTGTGGTAAAATATTATGGTTTCACGCTTTTAACGACTCAGAGGCGTGTGTTTTTTTTTCTCCACTCTGAATCGTTTGAGATCTTTGGGCTTGAGGCTGTTCCTCGATCTCGGACGTGTTATCCGGCACATTCGGCTACGGTTTATTTCTTGTCTGCCGCCTTTCTCTCTGTCGTGTGGCTTGTTCCATTTCGTGTGGCTGAGTCTGAAGGAGTCGAGGCGTGTGTAGATCTCTCTCTCCACGTGATCCTGTGGGTACTTGGATCTGATGTTTCTTCCCGGTAATGGTGATTCAAAGTCTGGATTTAAGATTGAAGGGTGGCCAGCGGAGGCAAAGATTCTCCGTTTTAGTTTAGCAGAGGCTGCTGCTTCCTTTAGGTCTTTAGATCTACTAATCTAATTTGTTGGTTTAATCCTCATACCGGTTATCCGTTGGGTATTTCCGATTAAGGCTGTAATGTAATGTGTTTTCTTTTTAAATTTTAATATTAATGAAGACTCTTTAACAAAAAAAAAAAGAGTTTAATATTTTGGTCCAAGCCCTAATGGGTATCGCTATGTGATGTAGTGTGGGTGTAACGCATCGCCTACCACCATCTAAGACCTTCACGTATGCTTTCAGCCAATGGATTCTATTTTGGTTCAACAATCGGTGCATGCACTACTTCAACAAATTCGAAAAAGTTATCGATAAATTCGATTTGGTCTTTGATATTGATCGTCGTATGTAGCTAGACTAGGTTGGATCGGAGGTTGCCGGAGCTCCTTGGGCTTGGTTTGACTGATGATTAGACCGCTTTTGTATACTTTCTTGTTCGGTGAAATCCCCTAACCGGATCCTTTAGGTAATCGACTACTGATTTTAGCGATTACTTACCACACATGC